CTGGGCGTGGGGGGGGGGGGGCGTCGGAGAGTGACGGCGGAGGAGCAGCGGGGTCGGTTCCTAACGGCCCCTCTGTGTGCGTGTGTCTGTGCTTGTGGGCGAACGAGACGGACAGAAGTCGGTAAGGGAGGAGCGGTGCGGGAAGGGCCGGGCGCTGTCGCCGCCATGTTGTGTTCGCTGGGCTGCTCCATTGTTGGGGAAGTGGGGACGGGGGTTCCCGGCTCCCCGCGGGCTCGGGCGGGAGGAGGGACCGGGGGGTGTAGGCAGCGTAAGAAGAGAGAAAGTTTGGAGACGAAGAGACGGAGCTCTGGCAAGCGCCGAGCCTGTGGGAGCAAACAGCGGCTTGGTTTGTGCTAATGACGTTACCTCGGCCCTTGGGTTCAGTCATAACAAGGCGAAAGCTGAAGATGGGCGGCTCCTTCTGGAGCTTTTGGGGAGAGGGGGGCTGATGACTCTGAAGACATCGGTTGGGGGAGGGGGAACAGGGTGAGTGCTCTGAGATGAAAATCCTAAAAAAAAATTTCAGGGGAGGATGAGCCGTGGGCTAAACGGGGAATTATTTTAAGAGTTAATAAGGAATTACTTTGCTAACGAAGGTGCAGAAAAGCAGGTGAGGGAGCTGGAGCTGTGCTGCAGTGGCTGGAGGAGGGTTTGGGGTGCGGCTGGGAGGCCGGGGGGAGCGCGGGGCCGTGCGGTCCGGTTGGGGCGAGCGGGGGGTTCAGGGAGGGTTTCTTGTGCTCAAGATGCATCGAAGCGCGAGTTCCCTAAGAGTTCATCCCGAAGTATTGGCCGCTTTATTGGATTTCTTTTCCCTATTAAGAAAAAAAAGATAAGGTTCTCGCTGGCCTATTAAAATACTTAAGATATATAGAGAGAGCATGATAAAAATGCTATTCTTTGTGAAATGCTAAGTATGATGAAGTTTATATAAACAGAGTAAGATAAATACTGCCTTTTTAAAGTTTGAAGTGCATTGTCATCTTTAACAAGTAAGAGACACAGATGACTCTATAAATTCTCCGAACTATCTCAGCTTTTTTTTTTTTTTTTTAAATTTGAAAGGGAAACAATGGTTTCCTTAACCTGAATTCAAATTTCATTCTCATTTATGCAGTGGGACTTCTCCCTTGGAGCTTCTGTGCCGAGAATCCGATGTTGGGCTCGGCTCCCTGGCTGAATACAGCACATCAGCCCATGAAAACTTCCATTCCTAGCCAAAGGAAGGAGTCCAGCAAAAGGCAGCACCTACTCTTTCAGGCTTGGAAGCAAGAAAGGGGGCAAGAGTTGGAGAGCGTGGAATCTGAGAAGACAACTGAAAGGTAAATGGGGGTGGGAGAAGAAGAGCAAGAGTCGGCACCAGGGTGCCAAGTACTGTGTGATGATAGTATCTGGCTGCCTGCTTTGGAAGTTTAGTTACAAATGGCCGCTTCCCATTTGAGGTTGTTTTCAGTTCACTTTGGGTTTATCAGAGCAATTCTTGGACTTACCAGAAAGACTGGGGAGCGGCTTTGTCAGTGCAAACTTTGTGCAGATCTTTAGGTTAACAGGCTTGGTTTAAATGTCTTCAGGATTAAATACTAACACCTTAAATTTGGCACTGTATTTTGCGAGCAAGATGTCTTTCACATTCTTCCAGTAACACCTTTTCTGAGGAGAAAAGAAGCGATGTATCTAGTAGTTGGGCTGCCTGGAGGACGGGTGTTTTCCTAACTAGGTGGGCAAAGCTGTGACTGATGAGGGGACGGGGATACAGTTCCCGAAGGACGGACTGGTGTACGACATGCTGGTCAGCCAGCAGCAGCAGCATTGTTAAGCCGTTGCAGAGTCGCTAATCTCCCACTCGGAAGAGATGCGGCATTGTAATTCAGTTCTCGTGAGTGTGTCAGCCAGGTTCTTAGGTGTTACTGAAGTGGCATCCAGTAAAGGAGGAAAACCACTACTTTTAACTGATAGAAGTTTTGGTTAGGTTGATTTCAGTCCCCTTGCTTAGAATCTAAAAATTCCCTCAAGTATTTTCTGTTTAAAAAAAATAGTAATACTGCAAACTCCACCAACTTTCTCCCCTGTTTTTACAGGTGACATTTAAGTTGAAGATGGGTGGTGGAGAAAGATTCAACATTCCAGTTCCCCAATCCAGAAATTCCACCAAGAACCATCAACAACTTAAAAACAGGCAGAAGAATAAAGACCAGAATTCGCAGATGAAGACCTACATGAAGAAAGAAAGAGGACATGGATGCAACTCGTCATCTGGCGCATGGCAGGCCATGCAAAAAGGGGGGAAGAACAATGTTCATTTCCCCAATAATCAAAATTGGAGTCCTACTTTATCGAATCGCAACCTGTTTTTCACACCTCAAACCAATCAGAACTATGCTGGAGCAAAATTTAGCGAGCCACCCTCACCAAGTGTTCTTCCTAAGCCACCAAGCCACTGGGTACCTGTTTCTTTTAAACCTTCCGATAAAGAAATGATGACATTTCAGCTTAAAACATTACTTAAAGTCCAGGCTTGAGATGTAACTTTTCATATTTGTAAAGTTATTGAAATTTACAGGGTTTCAAATTTGAGAATTGTTATTCCTAACTCCCGATGCCCAGGCGTACAGAAGTAGATGTTCTTGCTGCATGTAGTCAGTCACTCGGAAGAGAAGGGGGGTGGAAGCTTACGTTCCCCTCGTGTTATACCTCACAAGTTGTGTGCTGTGGTCACTGTGAAATAGGTAGTATTTTCTCTATAATCAATCTAATCAAATCCTGAACGGTCACCATTTATCGTATTTATTGTCAGAGTAAATGGGACTGTCTCCCAGAATTGAAATCATGACTGCTTTTTGGCGTGGTGTTAGAAAACTAGCTTCTACCTAACTTAATGCAGCATTAACTGGAAAAAAATGCACTGAAAGCTTTAGTCCGGTACTCTGCTGCTTTTCAAACTTGCGTAAAATTTGCTAGTGAAATAAAAACTCTGCAGAGCAGATTTGCCGAGCCGAGCCCTCCACCTAGGCGAGACGGGGAGCATTCTCTTGCTCTACCCGTGAGCTCCGTTGGGCGCTCTGGAGTTGGTGCACCAGCATTTCAAGCCTGTGACTAAAACCGAGATCTGGGAAACGCTGGTGGAGGGAGGAGCCCGTGGGGCACGTTGCGATTGTCTCCCTCCGGCTCTAGCGGTTTCATCGGCACCTCGGCGAGTCGGACCGCGCCGACTCGCGCCGCCAGGTGACTGCCAAAAACCCATGAAAAATCCTTTGTGTTCCGATCGCACTGACGTTTTTGTATCCGCTTCTAAAATTGCGGAAAAGGCGGGGTAGTTACTTAGACTGGTCTTCAATTGGTTACCCTGTAATGAGTGCTGAAGTTACTTGTGGCAGGCATTACAAGATTTTCATAGGGAGGACAGAGCCATGTAAATAAATGTAAAACTTTGTAGCATATGTAAATTTACGCTGGGCTTTCCTGCACAGAAGTATTTTTAGTACAAAACTGCTGAATGTAAGATGACCACGTTGAGTACGTGGCCTGATTTAAAAAGATATTTTGTTTAAAAAGAAAAAAAAAGGACATTTGTGGCTGTGCCCTTGCACATACAGTGAATATGCACGTTTTACTTGGTCGTGAGCTCATTTTTTAAGTAAACTCAGTGCAAAAGAGGCTTATTTAGATTTTTTTTAAAATAAAAATAAAAAAAAACCAAAAAAAAAAAGCTGCTCAAGTTCAAGATAGCGATGTCCTGAATGTACAGGAGAGGTGCGCGTTCCACGACGCAAACACTAAGGTGTTCAAAATCAAAGCGGATGTTTCACAAGAAATGCAAATGGCTGAGTTTGGGTGCTTGATGAAACAGAAGAACTGGAACAGCGTTGCTGTTCCCAAAAGGAATCACCGCTACGACGTTCTTTTGTCCCGATACCTGCTAAAGTGTGGGGAGAGGGGCAGTTGCCACGTGCAGCTTCATTCAGTGCTCTCAGTTCAGTTGGTCCTGTCACAGAAACAGCTGAACTGCAATGACAGAACCCAAGGTTATTTTAAAATAATACATTAAGTGCTAAATCCGTGCTTTAACTTGGAAGGGAGTTCTGCAGATTGCGAGATGGTCGTTGCGATGTCTTTCCGTACATGACGCATGACTGGCGGCTGGTTGAATGTTTACAAATCTATTGCTCCAATTAAGATGGAATTGGCGGTCTTTAAACTCGACTTCTTTGCGACCCGGACCTTCCCCAGGGAAGGAGCTGTAGCCCAGTTACAACTGTGTATCCTCGACTTCAAACTGTCAGTTACTAATGGTATACGGACAAATTGGAAACGACAAAAATTGAAATAAACTAAACTTTTCACCCCCTAAAAGCATCTGTTTGTTTTAAGGTGGTAATGGAAAAGTGGGACTACATCATTCTGGCAGCTCGGAGTTCTTCGGAGTCCTGATGAAGGTGTTTAAATGGCAGGAAACTTCCCTGGCAAGAACCGGCCACCCGCAAGCCCCCGCCAGGGGCTCCCGGCGCCCCCGAGCCTCGGGCCCAGCCTCGGGGGCTCGCGCCCACAGCCGAACACGGGGCTGGCAACGGCACGCTACCTGCTCCCGGAGACAAAGCAGAGCCTGCGCGGGGGCTGGCGGGCTCTGCCCAGGCAAGCCAGGCTTGGCGGGGGACGCGCTAGTCTGAGCGGCTTAAGCTTAGCTTAGCGCTGGCTCGGGGCGAGAGGGAGCTTCCTGGGGAGTCGGTGCTGGGCGCTCGATCTCCACCAGGCTACGGCTGCGTTAATTAAGTCAGAAGGTGCTCTCAAGTTATAGTCAAAACTCGTACATTTTATTCCCAATTCACAGGGTTATTTGCACAGATGGAACACAAAACTCAAGAAGAAAGGATGTGTATGAATAAAACATTAGCATCTTTTGATCAAACACGCTACAGGGTACATAGTCTTCCCTTCCTAGAATAGTCTCATCAGTAAGAGCATCTTTAGACAAATATTATAGCAATGGACTACAGACTTTTTAAGCAAGTTACAAGATAAATGGAGAAAACCAGCAATTATTAATGGGTGATTATGTCCTAAAAATGTGTAAATTTATCCCTTTGTACTTCAAAAATGTTAATCTGCAACATCCCTGCCAAAAAAAAATCAAGTAGCAGTGCTGCGATGTACAGCAATCCAACTGCCCTTCTCTGAACACAATTCAAGCTGTTACCCCAGACTAAACAGTAAGGAAAAAAAAAAAAAAAAAAGCTCTTTCCAAGAAGAGAGCTCAAAATAACATTTGAATTGAAAATTTCCACTTTGAATAAAGCCATTATGCTGTACATTTAAACATCTTTAAAAGACATAGAAAGGATAACATTTAGCTTTCAGAGACCAGTCTATGATAGTCCCTAATTTAAACACCCAGCTACTTCACCACTAAATTTAAGATTTGTAATTATCGGTTGGGTGCATGGACTTTTGGTGAAAAAGAAGTTCCAATAGAGCCTTCTATTACTGCTGAGAGAAATCAACACGCTGCAGATATTTTGGAGCACAGCCATTACTTTCAGCAGAATTTTCACACGCTACTTCAATTCTACAAATTTCGCAGGAATGACAAAATCTAGTTTACCACAGAAAAACATAATTCCCACCGTTCTTGAGACTCCAAAAGAAAGATGCCTATACATGATCTTTTGTAGCCTGCGTATGTTCTTGCATTCCAGCTGTGCATAACCTGCAGGTAGCTTGCGCAAGACAGGCTACTGCTTTTTTTTAGAGCAGGCCTAGGATACCTGCGTCAAGGAAGGGAGATGTTATCTAGATGGGCTGTGGCTTGACTTGCGTGAATGCGTAAACATTCCCTGCCCTTTTGGCCACATCCTGCTAACTCGTCCCCAACTGAAAGGCCCACAGAACAGCTTCTTCACAATTTTTCCATGGGAGCAAGAACTAGGACAACATCTTTATTCATGCACTCTTGAAACATCGTGGGTTTGTGTTCGGCTTTTCTGGCTTGTTCATATACACAAGTCAAGTCAAAGTTTAGTCCTACCTCTGGGAGAGAAAGAAAGAACCATCAGAACTGTCAGATACCGCATTATACTTGCAATGAATTGGATTTTCAAAACAAAAAAAAAAAAATTTAAACTGTGCTATACATAAATGTCGAGGCACACAACAAAAGGACATGCTGACAAGTTAATTAAGGTACTGTTACTGTTTCTCTGCAGTCTCAAATCAGAACCTCAGCCTGAGCGCAAGGATGCTCTCCTCCCTCCCTCCCCTCCAGCTGTAATTCTGGCCGGACTAACGCGAGCATCAGTCCCAGCAACCCCTTGCAGGCTGCCGACAAACACACCCACGCTTTCCCACCGCGCGGGCGGGGGACCACTTCTAAGTAGGATTTTAGTCGTGAAGACGATATTCGTTTCAGAAAGCTGAACGGGTGGGGGTTCCTGCCGTTACAAGCCATTTTCACGGATGGCTACGAGATAGATAATCACGGCTCAGCTTACAAAGCGCAAGAGCGGGTTTATCAAAGCAATTAGGCGCTTTTCAGAGTTGTTTCCATTCGGTGGCATACGAAGAACCAGCTGTAAATACCGCAAGCGCCAGGAGGCAGCTTGAACTTTAAACGTCAAAGTTTTACCACCTTCTAGAGAACCACGGCTGGCGCAGTTTTTGATATGGCAAATATAAATCGATCAGGTGATACTAGAAATTTGGTTCTATATGGATCTTCAATTGCTGATTTTAAGTAGTTCATAACCTGGCTAACAATATCTGAATTATAACCACAGGGCAGTCTGTCCAGCAACAATGAAAGTTAATGGAAAAGAAATGTCAATATATTAGACTAAAACATACGCTTATCATTCTTATTTTGTCTAGTACCCCTTTAAAAATGTGAAATGATATTTATTCAGACGTTAAATGACAAATTCCTGACTTTACTGAAATACCATAGTAAGGATTTTACTCCATAAGGGATGCATAGCTCTACTCCTAACCATGCTCTGGAGTCAAATTCTAAAGCTACAATAATTCCAGTGGATCAGTATTTCCTTCATTTTTTTATTACAGCATGTTTGCTAAATTTACAGCAAGCAGAAAATAAGCTGGGTCTTTAGTTATTTTGATCAAAACATCGATGTTTTAAAGGTAGTACACAATATTTGTTAAAAAGAACATATAAAAATACCTTTTTAGAAGCCTCTATAAGAAAGGAAATACAAAGTTTAATCCCACAACTTTCCTCTGCTAGAGCTGCACGCTACTGCTACAGTTTTAAATAGACTTTTTGCTGTTTTTAAACTATACATCCAGGAAAGTCTACAAAATTAAAGGAACGTGCATATAAATGATTGCATAGCAGAACATGAACATTAACTGCAAACAGTAAAGAAAAAGTTAGAAATACTATCAAATGTACAAAGATTCTAGAATCAACCCCCTAAGCACGTTCCACTGCCGATATTTAAAAGCCATCTGCGTTTCTTCAAAGGCCCTGCTGAAAACGCTAAAACCCAAACCTAAAACATTTCTCTAAAAA